CTCCGAAAGTTCGGCCATTTAAATACGGAACACCCTGTATATAAAAGAGATTTTCTAGTTTTTTAAACTTCTCTTAAACATATAAGAAGTATTCTAACCCAATTACCGTCAGGCAGTCTTTTAGACATCTTCTGAATTTATATTACTTGGATTAGTTATCTCATATAGTTCATCGATGAGTTAAGCGTATTTTTTGAGGCTAACAGTTCGTTTCCTTTCTATTAATCTATTATACATAAAAGAAAAAAATAAAAATCGGAAGAATACATCTGTACAGTGCCAAGCATCATATTGGGATACTCTCTCGCAAAAAATATCGCAACGATTTCTAACATTTAACGTAATATTTATACTTAATGCAGAGAGAAGATCACTTAATCCAACAGCCTGGAACATATTTACGAAAGCAAATACATTCTAATGATTTTTCTAAATGAATGAAACAATTACGATCACAATGAATTTAATTTCTTACAGATAAACGACACTGAAACTTTGACTACCAATTTTGATTCGTAAAAACAAACTACATAAGTTATATATCCATCTACAAAAACTATTTTCTATACAAGACTATTTAAATATTTAGTCGTGAAATAACATTCGCTCAGAATTCAAAGCTTTCCTTTAAAAACGCCATATATCGCATTCGATAATTTTTAAAGTAAGAAACTTTATATTATCCATGCTATATAAATATATGATTGTAAATCATTTAAATTAAGAATATTCAGCTCGATATTTATTCTTAATTGAATATCTTATATGAACGCATTTATAATATATTAGATTGATCAAATGAAAAAGTAATGAGAGGTTGTAACAACTACGTGATATTAAAGTCTACGTATATTTGATATTGACTACATATGCGATGTCACGTGTGCATGACTTGCGTGTGACATCACATATCCTTGGAAAGGAGGTGTTGATAACAAAATTTTTTTTTATCGTCCAGTTCACCCCTTGAGCAGAGATATAGCTCTTCCATTGGAAAATTTGAATTCTAATCGTTAAAGATGTCATGCCAATTGACATTTCTTTCGTTTTCCTTGATACACAATCTTCACCATACACCAACCTATGACATATCACACATTGTTCTTTATCAGATAAATTTTCCGGTCGAAATACTATTTCTCCATTTAACGACGGAGATTATCAATGTTTCCTGTCCAAGGATACGTGCACTGAGAGAAAACGAAATAGTTCCAGCAACTATAAATTTGACAACTTTTGCAATTGAAGTACCTGTAACTAGTTTTACAAAGTAATAGAAACTAAAGTAGTGCTGAATATTATAAAAATATAGTCATGGTAACAAATTGTATGCACTATTAATTGGTACTGAAATAGTGACTCAACTACATTGAGTAGTTACTTGGACTTCATGCAAATAGATATAACAATTACATTTTTCTAGTTTAGACAAAAATTTTTAAACGGTCGCTCAGTACGAGTAGTACGCGGCTTTGTCACCAGAGGGACGTAGCGGAGTTCAGTTTCTCCTAAGAAGAAAACCACTCAGCTTACAATAAAAGGCGCAGCGTTGGTTTCAAACTTGAAAGACAAAAATAAATAAGAAATGCATACACAAATTTGTAACTATGTATTATGAAGCTTTAATAAGAGAACAATAAATAAATTAAGTGAACTAAGAAAATATAGTAATATTAACCATTTATAAATTGTTTATATGGTTAACGTACTATATTTTCTTAGTTCACTTAATCTAGTATTCTCATTAGAATTTAATAATATGTATATAGTTGAGGCGCTATTTCACTACAAATTTATAGTTACTGATACGACTTTTTTCTCTGAGTGTGACGTCACATACAAGTCATTTAGACGTGATATCGCATACTAATATCACATATGCATAACATACTTTTTATGAGTGCTACGCTCCTCATTTTTTTTTATTTGATCAAATTAATAGATTTAAAATATGTTCTACAATTTTGCAATGGAGTAATAATTCAATATTTTTATAGGTTTGTTCGCGTCGCATGTTCCAATATGCTCCTACGATAGCTCTTACTCACTCCAACGCGCTTGGTAGAATGAATAGGAGCTATGGTAGGAGCATGTTAGAGCTTGCGACGTGAACAAACCTTACAAGTTGAGAATCATTTAAAAAAATTTGTTTACGCTCTGGTGAAAATAATTCAGTATTTTTGTTAATATTGTGGTGATGTTTATAATTGACAAAATATAACTTAATTTTTTATATAGTTAGAAAATACATTGATATTAATACGCTGAATAAATCGGTCCATTTGTTATAAATAAACATCATCTATGTTATACAAATCATATCATTGAAATTACGACTATTCGCAGCAAAGCTTGGAATGCTTTAATGTGCGTTACATATCAATAAAATTTTATTTTCATTTACTAGGGTTCTAACATTGAAAGAGAAAAACTGAAACTTGAGTGTCTGTCGAATTGAAGCTGAATTGGGAAAATCAGAAACTGATATATCTAAATATTTATAAAAATTTTTTTTCATCATGATGAAATATCTTATTGGCAATCGAGTACTTTATTGTCGGTAAATTAATGGCTTTTTATTTGATAATAATAGATTCACAATATTTCGAATTTTATTTTTAGTGAACTGAAATTTTCTACTTTAATGATTGATCCAAAATATTTAAATATTTCTTTTCTTATCGATCAGTCGATCCAAAATACTCTAATATTTTACTTAAATCAGTATTTTCATTATTAATAACCACATATCGTGATATTGATATTTCGTATTCATTACTTCTTTCTATATATGTATATTCTAAGGAAAAATATTCTAAACTGACTAACCCTTTATATCGTAATATCTATAATTTTTTTTACTTTTTAACATGTGAAACCAATTTGGTTTCTGAATTTCCCAATACAATTTCAACGATCGCCATACAATCGTAAAACAAAGCTATTTTGGTTGAGTATCCTGTTGAGTCTGTTGCTGTGTTTGCTGTTGCTGTACTTGCTGTGTTAAAGTTTGCAATCTCACTTGACCAAGAACAGATGAAGTTAGATTCGAGGCGGACACGGAAGTAGCACCTACGGCAGGGCTGGTACCCGCAGCAACTGTGGAACCGGAAGCTGCGGCACCCGGGCTTGTGCTTGTACTGGGGCTAGAACCTGGACCAGGACTTCGTCTTACCGCACTAGTAACAGGTTTTCCTTGGATAGGCGTGGACTGTCGTAGCTGAGGATTGCTGGCAGTCACCATTTGAATAGTTTGCTTAAGGGATGCAGATGCAACTGGTATTACACGAGTTTGCAACGGTGATTTAGCTAATACAACTTGACTAGCCTGAGACACCGTTTGCCCCGTGGAGACCTGCAATTATAGAGTAGTCAACATTAATTAAGCCATACAATTAAGTGTTCATTAATATTTGTTAACTTTGGTGATCTCTCTCGGAGTGCTTTTCTTTCATTTACCTTATAAATTTAGTTCCAAAAATATTCAATACTTTTTTCATTTTAAGGATTACAGTCTACGAATAATTCTATAGATTCCTAAGGATTCAGAAATATAGTTACGTAGAAACTTTTTTACGTAATTATTAAAACAGTTTACAAAATTTAAAAAAGAAATCTTTTATTTCTTTACATGACTAAATTGCTGCATCGTCGAGGGCTGCACATGTTTCATCACTTGATGAATTTGCTGTACCGTCATGGTTGTAGGCAGCGATTTAGTAGGTTGCACGATCAATTGCGCTTGCACACCAGCTTTATTTGCGACTTGAGCTAACTGCGCGACTTTCTGTGCCGGTAGTTTTCTCTGCGTGATAATCTGCGGGTGAATTGCGAGCTGTCGGATCTGTTGGGGAGTCGCGGTGCGGATACCCGGCATATTGGTCGTCTTCACAAGTGTCGCTACCGGAGTACCACCCGCGGAAGTCCCTGCCTGTTGCACTTGCAGACCAGCCTGAGCGAAGATCTGTGCCGGTGTAAGTCCCGTTGGTGTAGGTACCTGCAGCAAAGTCGCAACCGATACTTTTGCGAGAATATAAAATTGCGTTCCGTAATATTTCATTTTTCTCTTTTTAAGATGAGTGTGGTACAATTTGATTATTCGGATATCTGTGAATATTTTAATCATTTATATTTCCTTTAATTTTTCTTCCTTTTCAAAACTCACCTGCCCTTGCGCAACCGCTGCGGCAGCAGCCGCCTTCGCTTGCTGCTGTAATGCCTGTCGCTTCAGTAACGCAGCAGCTAATTCAGTATCGGACAGTGTTCTAGTCATTGTTGGTTTGCCCACAGCGGTCTGCGGTGTTGCGGCGCCCGCAGTACCAACCGAACCAATACCCTGCTTCATCAAGGTAGCTCGTTGTTGCGCTGCTGCCGCCGTAGCCGACACCGCGACAGACACTTTTTGACCGCTAGCAGCTTGAGCCTGTAATACTTTAAGCTGCTGCTGCCGCAATAATACCTGCTGCTGTTGCTGCTGCTGCCTGTAGTATTGCACCTGTGCCGGCGTTGGGATCTTATTTCCCGATGCTGCTGTGGCCATCGTGACGCCTACCAGGCCTCCCTTTTGACCACTTGCCGCGCCAGCGGAAGTTTGACCAGCAGACACTAAACTTGTGGCAGTTCGTTGAGCCGCCTGCTGGATATTCGCGTTTGCCGATGTCGTTCTTACGTCCTGCATTTGTCCTCCTCCTGGTCGAGCTTTAACCACTGTAGTGGCCGTTGCCGTTGTAGTTGTTACATTGCTCAAATTCACGTTAGTCGCAACCTTCGTGCTAGGTACCGCTGCTTGTGTCAATTGATGAATTTGAGATGCAACAGAATTTGCGATTGCTTGCTGTCCAGCCTGTTGTTGAGTCTGTTGCTGCTGTAATTTCAGCTGTTGCTGTTGGGCGGCTTGTTGTTGCTGTTGATGTTGCAAGAGTCGTGCTGCTACCTGTTGTTGTTGTTCCGGAGTTAAAACCTGTGACTGTAAATCTCGGTTAGCGTATATTTCCTCGAATGTATTAGTGTAGCGAATATAATGATTAATATTGATTTTATGACTCGAATGCCAATATCAAATTTGAGGTATATGAAGTGTTGTACTCTTCCATTAAATTTATTTTGATCTAACAAACGAAAATGAATTTTAACTGTCAATATAAACGAAGATATATACGGCTCTAAGAATAAATCTAATAACAAGAAATAAAAAATCAATTAAGAGCCCACGCAGTTATTGGGGTGCGTAAATAATATTTATTATAATCAAAAATTTATTATGCAGACGTTTCGATCAATGTTTTCGGTCCTTTTCAATGTAAATTAAACTTCATATATAAAAATAATTTTAATAACTCATGATGAAAAAAAACTTACTAGAATGTGTACAAATATTATTGAGTCATAATTGTCATGCATTAAAAACGCACAGAAACTTATAGAATATTATCTTGTTACCAGTAATAGTGTGAGTTCTCAACAAAAGTCCAAAAAACAAAATGTGTGTGTTTGACAGTTTGATAGATAAATCAAAAACGCCAGTCATTCTTAGTGAAAAAGTTTCTTGCATAATGTGGTCATGCACGTCGAAAAGTGTAACGCGAATTTGGCACTCCAATAAAAATTATTGTGAAGTCGAAAACTATGAATCAGTGAAAAATTTTGAACTACAAACATTGTGTAGGTTGAGATTTAAAATAGTAATAATTTTAATTATTTCTTATACTAACTGCTTTATTTAGCTTCTCTAGCTTGATCCTATCAGCACGTCGCGTAGCAATTTCAATCGGTGTTGATGGATTATCGACCAGTATTTTGTAGTCGGTAGCCAGGACATCGACGCTCGGATTATTCCTCATTGAATTCACGATGGATGTTGGTTTTACAGTAGGCGTTCGCTTGTTAGAAACTGACTTCATGATTTCGTATCTCTGATTACCTGTCGACGTGAAGGAGACATTTCTGTCCTGATTGTGTAATTGCGATGTTCTCATTATTCTGTTGCTCTTGCTTTGTTGCTGAAAAAAATAGCAAAATAAAGATAATATTACATGTTCATATAACTCAAAACATTTAATCACTTTATAAATGTGAATTTCTACATTTTTAAATAAACATGATATTTTGAACGAAAAAATGTAGGACATCTACCACAAACGCACGATCTTTATTGGCGAAAATTATCTTTACATAAAATTAATCGAATTTACATATATGAGCATATATTGGCAGTACTTGTTGAACTTCTGTGCTTTTAACAAAATGTTAAGTTAAGACATTATGGCTTACACTATAATTATTAATCTTATCAATCTGATTGAATCACAGAATCCGGAAATTTTATTGGCTCATTCAACTCCTTATACAAAAGAACTGTAATGACCGGAACATAGAATGATTTTCGATGATCATGTTCAAATGTACGAAAAATTGAAATCGAAATAACGAGCGTGCGTTTTTTTTTATATAGGGATAAGATAAGATGTACTACATTTTTATAATGCGTATATTTTAATAAGTTGATTCTGAACACGGTTATGTAATTTCTATAATTCTGACGATTATACTGAGGATGGCCTAATTGAGACCGAAACATCTATATTCTCATATATATAAATTCGATTAATTTTATGTAAAGATAATTTTCGCTAATAAAGATCGTGCGTTTGTGGTAGATGTCCTACATTTCTCCGTTTAATTTTTGACCACGTATTTATTTATTTTATGATATTTTGACATCTTATATTGTCTCGTTTAATTTGGTTTTATTTTGTTATTTAACACTCGATTAACTTTTTTTATTTTAATACAAATAATCTGCAAGAAATTATAAATGCATAGGATACTTTGATGCTATCGTATACATCAATATTATAACAGTTACATACCTCAGAGACTGACAGCGTTTTGTAAACACTCGTCTTTTGCTTTTTCTGTTTCTTCGGCGCAGTGTCGTACAGTAATTTACCCTCCTCCCTGGGTATTATCACAGATTCATATCTGTTTCTGCTATGCTTGGGTGATCTGTATAAACGTGCGCCATTGTTAATGGAATCGGCAACCATATCCCAATTAGGCGTATGACCGGGCGAGAGAATCATTGTGTTTAGTGGTAAGTTCTGATAGTTTTGGATGGAATGTAACAAGCCCCATTCCTCGTAGACCAACCAGTCCATAGCTTGATCCGGCTCCGGTGAAGTTTTCGTCACGTGTGACGAAGTCTTCAAGACCGGCATAGGGGGACGTACAATCGCACGATATTTATACAGCTTCATGTCGCGACGCATCTTCATCAATGCCGGTGACGGCCGATCAAAGAGCGACCTTGGCGCATGCACGGACTCCTCCTTATGGCGCATCATTTTCGCCGGTCGACAACCTATAAAGAAAGTAATGATTAAATTGATCGAATGAAAGAAGACATGACGATAGACATTAATGAAAAGAAAAGTCATAAGCTAGAAATATAAAAAAATATATGGCAGTAAGACGTAAGTAATAAACGATTCACAGAAAACAGTCAATAACGTTCTCTACTGTAATTTGGCCGATTCGCTTACTGCTTACATCTTACTGTCTTGTATGGGCAAGGATAAAGAATAAATTCTAAAAAGAACAAGAGTACACAGATAGATGAAATATTGGACTTTTGTATAATTCATGGAAAAGTTCTTGGTACATAACCGTGCAAACGGATACGATATAATTTTATTGTTTTTCATAAACAACACAACAATCGATTGATGTTTTGTCTATCACGTGCATGCTTAATATGTAGACATTACTGTAATTAAAGCTTTAAAAATATAAGCAATCCAGTTGCCAAGAATTGCTTCATTTTTTTCATATTTATTGCAATTACAATCATCACTATTTGTATGGCAAGTTACAAGATAGAAACTTTCACTCTTAGGTATCCTTAAAATATACATATTGGATGTTATTAACATTTAAAAATAAGATATACAGTACTCTCCATAAGTTCGTCCATTTGGAAACACCCTTTGTTTTATAGGAAAACCATTACATTATTATAACATGTTTTTGGTTTAAATACGTCGTAAGACATCGTCTAACTGACGATAAACAATGGCTGCGTTCAGTAGAGAAAATTAATCAGTTAGCGCTTAGTGATTTAATATGATTGGTTCTTGTCTTTAGTTCTTGACTGGATCTAAGTGTAGGAACCAATTATATTGAAGAATTACTAAGCGCTGATTAGTTTTCTCTGTTGAACACAGCCTTTTTTATCTAGAACAAGTGTTTTGTCGGACAAGCATTTCACAGCTCAAGATTGAATTTCGCGCTTTGATCTATTTTTTATATATTGTCACACTTGTTTTGCAACGTCGTATACTTGCGTGCGTTGTATATATACATCACAAGTCGTGTAATTGTAGTTTAACGGTTTCTATAAAAGTGATAAACTATTTGAGTCTCAAATCGATTTCAGACGCCGTAAAAATTATAAAATGGCCCCGAAGAATCAGATTTCGTATGAATCGCATTTTAATTAAAATTCCATATTTTAATAGCATGTTATTATAGATAATGTATGTATGTATATACTTGTAAACTTTTATTTCGTCTTTTTTCAATTAAATTATTTACAAACCAAAATATATATCGATTTTATTATGTATTTTCCTTAAATTGCACACTTTTATAATGTGTTTCCAAATTTATGGAGAGTATATATGCTGGCTCTGAGAATAAATCAACTAATAAAACAATTTAAAAAATCAGAAAGAACCCATATGGATATTAGTCAATTTATTGCAATGTCAATTTATTGCAATGATTTTTATATACTCAACAAATATAATTTCGCAAACGTTTCGACCGACATTTATGGTTCTCTTTAGTGCTGTTTTTATATTTAATATGACACTAGAATATATGTATATAATATTAAATTTACAATTTACAAGTTCTAGTATTGTTGTATATGTTTAAGTAAATGTCATTGCAATAAATCGGCACTGATATCCGCATGATCCACTGATAAGCTCTTTAAATTTTATTAGCCATTAATTTATTAAAGAAAAGAATTTTTATCATCTACAAATTGACTCACCATCATCAGTGATACCAATATCGATTCTGCTTCTGTTCCGATCCTTCTTCACGTAAATCGGCGGCAGTTGAGCCTCTGTCATGGGGATATTTTCATACAAAAATCCAAGAGAGTAATCGATATATACATCGTTATCCGTTGTAGGGGGTGTTGGCGGACACCACATCTAAAAGAAGATTCAATTAATAATACTCTTCAGAGAATAAGTTCGACAATTCAATCCTCTATTGCACTCCATTATTGAGAGTATTGTACTTTTGTTTTCCTCTTTATCACAAAGTCGTATAAAAAAAATAGTTTATTTTCTTATATAATACATAATACAATATATCAATTATCATAACAAATTACAAAATGATGAATAAATGGATAAATGTATCCTTTACTTAATTTATTTGTAGGTTTGCAATAAAGGATAAAAATGTATTACATTTTGCACTTACTGGCATTTGTTCCATCGTGTGTTCCGATAACCAAATCTGCAAGATGTTAAAGTCATACGTGAGATATCATGCGGTTTATGACAGAATTTTCGCTCTCATATGAAGTCCGTCTCTGTACTCGCTAAAGTTTGCACTGTACTATTGATACGATTTTTAAATAGAGTATTTTTTTCAATTATCAATAAAGCTGAAATTTTCGTGAAAGTCTGCGTTCAAATCATAAATAAAATTAAAAATTCCAGTAATTAATATGATAATGTGTCTTGCATACAAATAACAAAAAAATATAATAAATAATTTTGAGACTACAGAAAGACGGACCCGACGAGTAAACTTCCAAATAATGAAAATAAAGAAAGAGAGAAAGGAGCGATACTACTTTTCCCGATATTTTCCCGTTCATTTCTTAAAGAGAGATTCAAGAAATACATAATTACAAAATCAAGAAACTTTCAATTATAACATCGAGACATAAAATCTTTCGCGTTATTCAATTATATTAACAAATGTTAAATTAGAAATTGTATCAAAATAAATTCAAATATATTTACTCACAAGGGAACGGTCAGAACTGTTCCTCATCGATTTTGATGCGCTTTGGATATGTTGTAGAGCATCAAAAAATATTCAACCCATATTTTCTTATAGCGGCTTATCTCGAGGTTTAGGAGATGAAACACTCCCTTTAAGAAAATGGATTTTTTCGTTTTCAGCAAATATCTTCGAAACTATGCCGCGTATAAAAAATGGTTTATACAATAGTTTTACAGTATTTTATGCTGTATATAATAGTGTATTAATTTAAAAAAAAAATATGTGTGAATACACTATTATATACAGCATAAAATATTATAAAACTATTGTATAAACCATTTTTTATACGCGGCATAGTTTCGAAGATATTTGCTGAAAACGAAAAAATCCATTTTCTTAAAGGGAGTGTTTCACCTCCTAAACCTCGAGATAAGCCGCTATAAGAAAATATGTGTCGAATATTTTTTTTGATGCTCTACAACATATCCAAAGCGCATCAAAATCGATGAAGGATAGTTCTGACCGTTCCCTTGTCAGATTCATCTTACTTTCTGAGTTTTGATTCGAGATTTAATTTCCAGAATATTTGATGTCAGATCTTAAAAAGTTGTAATAATAAATTTCCTTAAAACTTTTCCTAAGAAAACGTGGATTTAAAACTTGACAAAAAACTTATTGTAAAAATTAAGGCTGGGACATCCGTAGACGTTCAAAGGTTCTCGTTCCTTTCATTCTAGATATCCTGAGAAAGAGTTCTTTACGATATATTCCTTTATATCTATTACTGCGTGTATTCACAATTTTTTTTACAAACATGTATACATGTATAAATTGAAAGATACATATATAATGCACAATATATAGACGCAGTATGATGATCTCACTCATGTGCCTGCTCATATCTTGCTGCGGACTCCAAGTTTGGAATGGCAAAGGCAGTGTTTTGGTGCCATTTTAATGGAACAATTTTATTGGAGCTCTTTTTCTCTCTTTTCTTTTTATGCCTACTAAGGTACATGTATCTCTTCTCGAAAAATGTGCGGTCATGATAGCCTTGCCACACCAAACTGACATCGAAAGGAAAAAGTCGTTCTTCGCGTTAAATCGCGATTAAATATAAACAAGCACATTGAGCTGAGAATGATTTGACACCAAAACGGAACTGAACCTTTGATCGACACAGACTTGGAAACGCATCAAGAAATAAGGGTACACATTTCGATATAGTAAGGAATATCTCGTTTATTTTTTTTTCTTCTTCGAACTCTCGCTCGATCATACAAAATACAGGCACGCAACTTAATTATTACTATGTGAATGTGTGTGAGTGTATGTGGCGGGAGGAGGCAAGTGGAAAGAGCGAAGGAAGGACATCCTTACCATACACAATAATATATATATAACATATATATTACATATACATATAGCATGTATATATAATATAATAATCAGATCATCGACCTGTAAATTACGTAGCTCAAGGCGGCACGAATAAAACTTTTTCTCACTTTGGCTGCCCCCGATACTTTTTCGAGAGTACCAATCGTTCATTACTTTAAATAAATTATTATCATATAAACCTTTTCCAGATTCAAGTAAAATTCAAATCAAATTATCGTGAAATAGCGAAAATAGAATCAAACTATGCACTTGATATACTGTATTCTATATTATTTTTTTAATCACGTTTTTTGCTCGTGACGCCTGTCAATATACGTGTATGAATAGCTTAGCATACTAGAGAATCGCTTGATTGAGATCAGTTCGATCCTCATTTCTAATATAATACACTCGTCCATTTCGCTCATCACGTTTATATAAATCGCTAGGCATACTTGACTGAAAATCTGCCTCTTGCCATCTGCACTTTCCCGTTCTGCATTCTAAATTTAATGAAACATATTTGCAGAAAAATAAAGAGACCAAAATAGATCGCGGAAAGTGCAGCCAGGAGAAACGGATCTATGGATATCTTTACAACGAATAAAGTAAGATGAGATGAAGGGGGGGGGGCGGCGAGTCGGAGTACAATTTACAACGCTACAAATATTACACGTGTACTATCCGGTACAACCCGGAGGAAATACATTGTTTATTATGATTATACTGTGTGATTATGTACAAGAAGATGCGTACTCGTGCCCCACATTAACGCTAAACATATGTCTATTTGATTCCATTTCATTTTTCTCTTGTGAAATATCGATGGTTTTTCTCAATAAAATTTCTCCTATTCGTCGTTCTTACACAAACTTTCTTTCTAAATTTTCTTTTTCTTTCACATTTAAAATCTCTAATGTAATTTTTCTCATATGTAATGTTAGAGCTAAAGCTTTCCTCATGTATCTGTTCCTTATAGAATTCTCTCTCTTTTCTCTCTATTTTCTATAATAATCACACGTGATTATTCTGAAGGGAGAATCAAACAGTCACTGAGCGATAAATATAGGATAAGTACGGGCAAAAGACGCGTCATCAACGCGCGATTAATTACAGGCGTTTCTACAAACCAGGTTTAGATTAGTCTTTATCCCATGAAACTTCTTACTTATATATTCCCTTATTAGAATTCTCTCGACGTTTATCATTTATATTAACTCGACTATTAAATAACAATTTCTCACTTACGCTTAGTTATTTTTGTTTCTCTATAAAAAATCAGTTCCAATACATAATTAAATAAAAAATCTATAACAAATAACAAAAATTCAGTAAACTCATCTAAATTAAAATATATGACCTTCTGTAAATCCACCATAAATTTTCAGGCAAAGAAAAATAGACACAAATTTTATTTTTATAATATTCATTGATTACATGATAATTTTATCTTTTCTCTTTAAATTAATTTTTAAATTTTATTTTTAATTATATAAAAAAATTCTTTTATATTTTCTATATTAATCGGAGATCTTTTTTCCTTATTTATGGAAAGAGCCATCTTCAGATCTATATGCACGAAATAAATATTAATCTTTTACTTCAGTTCTTAAGAGAATAAGATAAAGGAGCAGTGTCGCTGCGCTTGGCTTAGCGCCGAGACACTACCGTGTCTCCATATTTATATTTCTTATTTCTTTTTGATGTCATTATAGAATTAATGCACAAATATTGAAAACTTTCATTTATCTTATGTTTTATATTGAAAGAATATTAATGAAAAAAGCAAGAATTATCATGCGACAAATGCTAAGCATAAACCCGGGTATCACGCACATAATAGGCGGATTGAATAGCAGACACAATAGTAGATATATTTGACTGCTTGATCGAATAACAATTATATTCCCAACGGAATAGTTCGTGTCGTTGATGATTACCACAATGACGCTTCAGCGTGGCTCAAGATATTGTGGTGTTCTTCAGTTTTTCGGATCGCGTCGTTGCGATGGAGGAGGGGGGTGAGGGGGAAATCTGCGAGGAACGAGATCTCTTTTGTGGATCTTCGTCGCTAACATCATTAGAGCCGCCCTCGTCTTCCAGCGAATTTGGTACAGTTTTGGCCCGCTTCGTTTCCTTACGCAACCTCCTGGACTTTATGTCAGACGAATTGTAGTCCTCGTGATTGGCTTCTTGCTCCCTCAGCGACTCTGACATGGATAACTCCTTGTCCTGGACCTTCGTCTCACAATTAACATTGGATTTGGACTGACTTGATGAGGTCTTGCTACTGGTACTCCTCGTGTCCAAAGTGAGAATGGCTACAACCTTGGCCGTTCTTTGAGGCTTCTCGTAGGACTGCGACGTCAAGCTTCCAATATTCTCACTCGCAGTGTTTTCGTTCTCGCTGCTCGTCGATGGGGTTCGTACCCGCTTGATATTTGTTTTAAATGCGGAAGCGAGAGAAGACAATGGTGATGATGTTGACTTCATCGACAGGCCGGAATTCAAGAGCAATCCCGAACGCGTCACCCTATGTATCTGATCGTTGTTGTGACCGGACGATATGTTAGGTCGGGGCGTGTCTGGACGGGGTTTCGTCGAGACGACTGTCGTCGAACTTTCCTTCGAGTCCCGCGGTTTCATTGGCGGTATCGATCTACTACGTCTGAACAGCATTGGAGAACTCGGCAGGCCATTGTCTTGATACTGCTTCGAGTTCCGGGTCATGTATTTTTCAACTCGATTGGGCAATACCGTATCGATTCTTGCAGGAAAGTTTACGGTGGATCTCGTGATCGGTCGCGGAAGAGGAGTATCCGATCGTCGTTTCAACTTCGATGAAAGTTGCGTCATCGTCTCATCATTGCTAGGTGGAGGTGTCCTCGAGTGACTTGCTGATCGCGTGATCCTGCTCTGTTCCGCAATTAAATTGTCGACTCTTCGAATTCCCTGACCCGTTTTCATTTGCGAATTCTCCGATACTTTCGAATCGATCTTGTCATTCATCAATCGTGTCTTATTTTCTTCTAAATGATTGACAGTTGAGGAAATTTTTGAGCTACGAGTTATTACGCTTCGCTGAACTATGCTCTCTACTTTTCGTATTTTGCATTTAGGTTCACTTGAATTAAATTCACTTTTTACCGAGGGTACTAAAGAGTTGGGCACATTCAATGCCGCGTCACTTATTCCCTTTTCCGGTACTTGTGATAAAGCGTCTGAATTTTCGCTTTTCAAATTAAATCTTTGATCAGATTTTTGCATCGCTAGGGATATCGTTGACTCGACATCATTAATTTCATCGCAATTGTCCTTATCTTTATCATCGACCGCATTACTACGAGCTTCATCAGTATTTACATTAATCTTGGAATTTCTCTGTACGGTAGAAACACGAGATATCGCGATAGGTTTAGAGACAGTGTCGGTCGTGTCAGGACTTTCATTTCGCAACGTTTTCGACCGTAAAAGGGGAGCCGAACGACTAGAGGGTGATTCGACACTTCTGTCCGATTCTCTCGGCGCAGTAGTGGTCAATTTCCCTCGTACGTTGTTGCACAAAGAATTGGCTGATGCGCTGAATTCTAACTTGGATTTGGCCACTGTGTCCTTCGAGCGTTTCAAGGATGCATCCGGTTGCATCGTGCTCGAAGGAGACCGAGAATCCCTTACGCTGACATTCACGTCGAGATTCTCCGCATCCTCGTTACGATTCACTTCGGGCTCAAGCTTTCTGTAGGTCGTGGACATAACTTTATGTGAGCATCGCGTCACCTGAACGGAGCAGACCGCAATTAAATTAGTGCCGTTCGTGTTCTTATCGTCACTTCTTTCTTTTTCTTTTTTTACATTTTGACTGTCCACTACATCAGAGGCCAGTTCCAACTTTTTATTCAATTGCGTTTTAGCGATTGATGCCGAATCCACGTGATCACCGACAGATTGCTCCGTGTTAAAATCAGCAACACATCGGTCCACACTGTTCGAATCGATCGAGGACGACGCGAGATCGCAACCATCCTTCTTCAAATCTTGCTTGTCCTTTGATGAACTTCGATCAGTCTCTTTCGCCTCGATGATCTCGAGTTTTGCATTCTGATTAGAATTGACAGGTATCTTAGCGTTTGTATTAATCCGAATGCTTCTTTTACGACACACATCAACTGATGAGAAGGTTTCCTCGGACTTCGTACGATGAAATTTTTTGCGTTTCCGACGGAAGTTTGGCTTTATACCGGGCAGGATAGGACTCACGTCCAAAGTCCAGAGATTGATTTTAACATTCCCACGTGATCTGGTACGTGGACTGTTCAGATCAAAATGATTCCGGCTGCGGGAGCCCGAGCCTGCCAAACGACCCTTCCGTCTCGAGAAACCCCCTCGACGTTCGGAATCATCGCGATTATTCGCTCTTTCATCTTCGTTCCCTTCGCCGGTCTCCTCCTCTTCCTCCTCGTCGCTCTCATCTTTCTCTTCGCCTTCCTCTCCTTCCTCCTCTTCACCCTCATCCCCTTGACTCTGACTCTCTGTGTGACTCGATTCCTCGTCAAGACTATCCTCGACCACGTCCTCCTCCTGCGATTCCGAATCCGAATCCGATTCAGTACTAGTAGTTTCATTTTCGCTTTCCGACGACAAATCGCGCGTGCGTCTCCTATTACCGCCACGTCTACGCAAACTTCTTTTACTCGGTACTATTAGCCTCTTATTAACTAAACGTCTGGAAAACGCCGTTCCTCCTCCTCGCGCAATGCCCGCAACCGGTCCAATTCCCACTCCTTTTTCTGCTCCTCGAGTTCCCGTTCGGCTGCGGCCAATTGCGCCGCGGAGAACGCACCTTCGGATTCCTCGACGAACTTCATCGCATATCGTTCAATTGGAGTCAGCTAAATGGAATATTACAGAACCATTAATCGAAAGTTTAACATAAAACTTATATGACAAGTGACATAAAAGTTAAAAATTATATGACATAATTGACAAAAGAAGAAGAAAAACCAAGACAATTTCTAACTAATCCAACGAGATTCTATCGAACGAGATCTAACTATCCAACGAGAATCTAACTAATCGACAAGATTTAAAAAAAAAACATTTGACCTACCTGAGCAATCAGATTTTGAACTTCCTGTTCTGCTTTGCTAACTTGTGTGTCGTCTTTATCAGCTTCTTCCAGCGGAATGTTTTCATCGAATTCAGCGAGATCGGCGACAGCTTCTGCTTTCGCAGTCTTTGCAGCCAGAACATCAAGATCTTCCTCAGCAGCAGCGAGAGCGCTCTCAAGAGCACCCATCGCTGCCTTTTCCTCCGTATGCTGTCCTGACAAACCACTCTGAAATGATCCCACTGCCATATCCTTGCTGTAGGCCTTCTCTCGATCCCGATTCTGTTCGAGCACTTCAGCCATTCGCGCTGACGCATCGTTCTCAGTTTGATCGATGTTAAACAGGTCTTGAATAGTAGACTGCAAATAATCTTATTGTTACACAAAAAGTAAACGGAATTACTTCAAAGAATCGAAATATTGACAAAGACATTGATGCAGAACAATTTGCAAACCAAAACACGATTTTTCGGCAAATATTATACTATAAATTTTACTGTTATTTAATTTTAATGTCAAAATGTTATAATTAAAAAATTTTTAAGTAATAATGAAACAAATAAAAGAAATTTTTCCATAAGAAATTTCACATTTCTTATAAAGTGACGAAAGGAAATTATATATTTCTGATTAATAAATATAAATAAATAGCATAATTTGTTTGGCTCTTAATAAACACTTACACTTTTGAAGTACGCCGTGGTGAAATTGCCGCCTTCAATAGCGAGATCTCCTAGCAATCGTTTCTGATTTGCCTTTTTCAAAATGTTTTCTTCAACAGTTTTCTCACTAACTAATCTGAAATATAAATCATTGTACTGCATATTATTTCGCCGTCAAACACGCTAATTTGAGCTATCTTTGCAATTAAATCAATAAAATATTTTTTAAATCAATAAAATATTCTAAGTTTTTTTGAAGCTATTCAATCATTTCGTCTATTATATTTATATTATTAGTTCGCGTCGGTACCTGTAGATATGTACGTCTCGCGTTTGTCCTATTCTGTGACATCTGTCTTGCGCCTGGGCATCCATCGTAGGATTCCAATCACTATCATAAAATATCACTGTGTCCGCTCCCGTCAAATTCACACCGACACCACCAGATCTCGTCGACAGGATAAAACAAAATATTCGCTTATCGCCGTTGAACCTTTCCATCAAAACCTGCATCAAATCAGTATTCTCACTAACGCTCATTTATATTTTTTTTTACTTAATCTCGCAACAAAAATATCTTGCATAAAATTTTCTATATTTCTTATTACGCTTCTTAAAGTTAGTCATTATATGCTTTAAAAACTAGCAAAAAAATTAATACGCTTTCAATATTCGTATTAAAAATCCCAATAAAGTCAATAGTTTAAGAGTTTAAAAGTTTATGCAACAAATTTCAATATTTAGTATCTTATTAACAGATCAAATTACCTGACGTTGATCCACTCTAGTTGTACCATCTAGTCGCAGATATATGTGTCCATGGAAATTCAAAAAGGCTTCTAATACGTCCAGCATTCTGGTCATCTGCGTGAATACGAGGACTCGATGATTTTCAGACTTCAGCTTTCTCAACAGACGATCCAACGATTGCAGCTTGCCGCAATCGTACTGGATCAGTCTGGGATCGGGAAACTGCGTGAGCATGTGGCTCGAAATTGGATGGAATAGAGATAATTTCGGCGACACTTGTTGCTGTAATTCAGTCCATAGACGACGCTCATCCCATAACTTGTGCGGCGGCGGATGGGACACATGGAACCGAGGAACTGGAGCGCGCACAGCCGGCACGTAGATTACATATCTGCACGAATATTGAACAAAAAAATTTTTACTCAATTCCAAAAAGGATAATTGATCTAAATGACAAAGATTGCAGAATCTTATTTTTCGCTTAATTCCAAACAGTTATCATAAAATGTCTTTAATAAAATTTTAATTTTTTTAAGCTTATATATCCGAGTATTAATATTGTAAAAAAAGATTATACATATTTATAAATTATATCGGATACTAACCTTTCAAAGACCTCTTTGAGCTCTTCAACAATCTGCTCCGTGCTTTTGATAGCTTCCGCAAGTGCTTCCGTGTGTGAAAAGAACTCTTTCCGAGTATGAATCTTTTCTTGAGTCTTTGAACAATGCACCCAACCATTGTGCCAGCGACAGGCTGTCGCGGGTTTGCCAATTCTCAAAGCCATAAACAGATCTTCACCGTAAAGTGGACACGCCGCGCATCTTCGTTCATTGATATCTGCGAGGAGATGCAATTTGTTCTGTCTCCTCTGTCTCCTTTCCTCCTCCAATTGAGACTGAAAAATAATAAATTAAAATTTTCTATAAAAAAAATTTAAATAAAGCACTTAATAGAATAATTAACATTTAAATTTAAAATCCATTAGATAAAATTATTTCATTTTTTTACAAAAATAAAAAGAAAAAACGAACGAAGAAAAAAAGAATCGAGTAAATTACTGGGATCTACTAAGAATCAAGGGAACCTCTCGAGGTGTCAAATTCTGATTTTAATGAAACTTTGTGAACTTGTAGCTTATATAAAGAGATGAATTTAGAAAATATCAGTTGTGGCTAAAAAACGGTTTGAAGGAATAAAATGAATAAAAAAATGTTTTATACAAAAGTTTTACAACAAAATTAGCTGTATTTAATCGCGTTTTTAGAATAATTTACCAATTTTTTTTCAAAATTTTCGAAAAAAAAAAAAAAAAAAAAAATTCTAAAAACGCGATTGAATACAGCTAATTTTGTTGTAAAACTTTTGTATAAAATATTTTTTTATATCTCAAATAATTTTCGAGATATAACGGAAAAAGCTGAAAACCGCTGTATACGTAAGGGGTGATTTCATCCCTTCAAACCGTTTTTTAGCCACAACTGATATTTTCTAAATTCATCTCTTTATGTAAGCTATAAGTTCACAAAATTTCATTAAAATCAGAATTTGACACCACAATTCCCTTGTGAGATATCTACGTTTAATTACCAAATAAAATTCAGATTTGGGCTGTTCCTTATTCTGCACTTTCGCGATCTCTTTCTGAGCTTGTCTGGTAACAATACCACGTATCGATTGCGATTGTTGCTGGTTAGCTGTCTGTTGGTTGTTGTTTCCACTTGGTGATGATTGCGATGCTGTCACGTTCAGAGGAGGTACCCTCATGATGGGTCGACCACTTGGCGTTGTCACTACTCCGCTCACAACCTTATTCACCGTCGTAGCACCCGATGTGGCCAAACCCATTATCGATTTAGACAGCACCGTAAAACGTGATCCGCTCGATGTCATGACTGGAAATGAAACTAAGAGTACAAAATGTGTTACTTTTTTTTATCTGTCATTGCCAACAACCTTAAAGTTTACGAAAATAATTGTAAAAATCATAATTAAACAATTGTAAAAATCATAATTAAACACAAACCTGTGTTAGTATTCTGTTGACTCGGTGTTAAAATAAAGTGTCTGCCGGTAGAGGTTTGAACTAGTTGCGCGAAACTAGGCACCGCTATTCTCTGGACGGAATCGCCTTGTTTGACCGTGACAGTTTGTGTCGCCAGTCGTTGAATGCCATCTCTGATGCTAGCGTTTCCCACTGTGATTCTTTGCGCGTTCGTCGCTGTTGTGGTAGTTGTTACGCTAGTACTTTGTGGATTATTCCCCAACGTTGCCATAGGAAAAGCTATTTTTAATTTAATAAAAATTTACACTTTATACTTTTAGATATACTTTTAATATTTTATTGTACATATAACTACGCTAATAAATTTGTTATTGCTCAAACAAAAATTAAAAAATTTGTTTCCAATATAATCAATGAATTTTAACAAAATATAAAAGTATAACACAAACATATAATTCGCTCCAAAAGATTAATTTTTTATAAAATGTGTCCTTAGTTCTAGAATGCTTATAAACGGTAAGATTATAAACAAGCTGGCCCAAGGAATTTAGCAATTAATTTAGCATCACTGCAAAAGTAATTGCCTAGCGAGAAACTCACAGCGATAGTTACTGATCGATGATGCATAATTTCATATTATTTTTATATTTAAAAGTATAATTTACACAAAATATGATATAAAATTAAATTAACGTATCTATAATTTTGTAATACATTTAGTTATATTTGAGAATGTATTACGAATTCAAAAATAAGATTATATCAATCTAAAGTCGCTTACCTTTCACGCCAGCCTGATGCGGCACCAGTTGTAGAGAATATCCTTGTAATTGTTGACCACCAGCAACTCTCAATGTAACACCTGAGAATAATAGTTGTTGCATTTCGTGTTCGATTAACATACATACATACATTAACTTTAAATATATCAATTAAACCATTGAGAAATTAAAAGAAACAAAATAGCTAATTAAAAATTTACTTGGTATAATCAAATGCATTAACAGATCTGATATGTTCGGTATTTTATGATTCCATATTGTTTTCCTTGTCAATATGAAATAGTTGAACAATGCAATTATATAAATGTAAAGAGATATTTTTAAATATCTCTTATACAGAGATTTTAATCAAATGTAAGTACGCATCAAACGTCAATGCATCTAATTAAATCATTTATTAATTTCAATATTGTCGACATAAATTTTAACAAATTCTCTCTTTTTTTAATTATAATTAATAAAGATTAATTGACACAAAACTACAAATGCAATACAAACACTTGTATTGCATCACGCACAATATCCTGTTAAAATTCTTCCCTCGTAGCCCGGGATAAGGTTTTGTTCATATTTCTTCGCAACGAATTCCATCCATTCATTGCGTTAATCTTTTCATGACCAATAAAAACATTTTATTTCTTTTTTCATTACCATATAACCGTATTGGCAACTAAAAATCTCAAATAAATATAGAATCCCATAATTCTTTTTATATAATAAAAAAAGTTGCATTTCTATTATTTTATTATTTCAATGCATTTCAATGCATTTAATATCTTATAACGATACTAATATGTGTATACATAATCAACATATTTTATTTTTTTATAATTAATTATTACTGCTATTTTAAACTATTTTGAGATCGCAAAATATAATTTTGCTACCAATAGTAAAATGGCCATGAAAATGTTAACGACTAACGCGGTAAGATGGGATAGCTTGGACCTACCTTGTCCCGGACCACTCTGGCTGGTATTTAATGACTTTATCAAGGGGGACGTACCCACTCTTGGCGTGGGTAATACGCCAGCCAGATTCTTTAGCCTAGTCTGCGTTTGCTGTTGCTGCTGCGGTTTCGCTTGATTCGATAATCTAACGTTGATCTTGATTCGACCAGACGGACATCTCGGCGGTGATTCCGGTTGACTATCTGTCTCCTCTATTAACTTTCTAGGCGTCCGCAGACGTTTCACTCTGTGTGCAACGAATGCACTGAACATCATCTCCAAGTTCAACAGCAAAAGGTTCAAGCTAGACAATTCGATGTGCTGTAAAGACAAATCACAATTCGTAAAAACTGAATAAATTATTGCTTCTCTCAATTCCAGTATACATATAAATCAATAAATCAAATAAGAGCACTGTTAACACAAAATATTGTTTACCTTGAAAGGATCATAATCGAGCACACTCCAGACTAACGAAGCGGTCATGAACTCAATCGCTTCCATTTGAAATGGCGAAACGGTCGGTCGCACCTCGAACAGGTTTGGATGATTACACACCTTTCGTAGTTGCATTAATACGTTAATCACACTCAACAGATTCCCGCTGGCGAGTGTTTCCTTCGTTCTTTAACAATATATGTCATTAAATACAATAATAGTTAATATATAATAGTAATATTCTAATTAAGACCGATATTTATAGTCAGGTCTTATTTTAAGATCGACTTAAATAATGTTTTAAGATGCTAATACAATTCTGTAATTGATTTATGATATCTTAAGGGAGAAGCGATTGTACTTAAGATAATCTTAAATGTAAAAATCGACTATGAATATCAGCCTAAATAATTTACTATATAAGAGTATCAGATATTCTAGAAGAAATTTTTTTTTAAATCACATTTTCAAGAAAAAATGTATTTTTTTTTTTAGTAGAAAAAGTAATATTTTTTTTATTTCCAAAGTTTAGAACAAAGGTTTTAAATTTCAAAAATACTACACGTTAAGAGTTCACTTACTTGGCCCTCGACATGAAGTCATCGTACAGAAATCTCTGACGCTTTGACAAACGGCACATGACCACGTGTTCATATTTCTTCGGCAATTGCTTTTCTACTTCAGTTTTTAATCGTCTTAAAAGAAAAGGCCGCAACACCTATGGAGAATGTTTATTAGATATTAAATTTACTGTATAAAAAATTAAATACATTGTATGATACATTTCTTTACATATGTTGAACAACGTTATATAAAATTCAATTTCTTTTAATAATGTATTTATAAATTAAATAAAAAAAGAAAGAGAAAAAAAATGACAAAAAGTTAAAAAAAACTACGTACAGACCTTATGTAGACGGCGGATTATGTTCTCGTTGTATTCGCTGTTCCCTTCGATCATGCCTGTGACAGGATTGCTAAACCACTCTTTAAATTCACGATGCGATTGAAAGACATTAGGCATAAGAAAGTGCATAAGCGACCATAGTTCCATTAAATTGTTTTGAAGAGGTGTGCCAGTAAGAAGTAATCTCCTGTAACAAATAAATCGAAAAGATACAGTCACATTTTAATTTTGATTTAAGTATGAAAGAATTTCCATCACTTTCAATTAAAACACAATAATCAATATAAGTCAGAACTTAGTTTTTGTAACTGTTAAGAAAATCAATATAAATTTTTTACAGTTTAAGAATTAAAAATTTTACAGAATTTTGAATAATTAATATATTAAATATAACTTAATATTTTTCAAGTTGTATCTAATGCTGCTTTACATCTATTTTTATCATCATTGGATTAACATTAATAATTAAAATTAATCTTACGAAAACATAAAAAAGAATATTGTATTTTATATAACATTCAAACAATTACCATTATAATTAACAAAATAATAAATATATTGTTTCTCCAGACAGGATTCATATGTCAGACAACGATCGATTTTTGACATGCGAGTTTTAATGGAGAATTTTACTATTCCGCTGTTTAATAATACAGACGTCGTCATTTTGGATTAACGCCTGTTGTCGGCAGCGAGCAAAATTACTATTATGTATAAATGAAAAAGGCGGAATTTTATATAAAAGAAATATATATTTATAAAATATATAATTTCTTCTAAATATGTTATATATAATTACAATTATAAAATTATTTATCATCATTTATACACACAATTAAATTTTAATTTACTCTACCTTTTTTTATAATACATAGAATTAGAAAACGATAAAAAGTAAGTTAAACCGAGATTAAAATGACATTGACATGGACATAAAAGTATGAATAAAACTGCTATATTTAACGTAACTCCGAACATGCGATAATGATATATGCATGTGTGTATATGTGTGTTATAATAAATATTTATTATCATTTAATTACCGTTGTGTCTGAAAGTTTAAAAGTAATTGCCACCTCTGCGATTTGAAATTCTTGATATTCTGCGCCTCATCCAAAATAAGGTATTTCCACTTTTTCCGTCTAAAGCTTTGGTGATCTTGTATTACTAACTTGTAGGACGTAATGCATATATGGAAGGCGTTTGGTTTTGTCCAACCTATGAACAAAGAAAAGAATATTGCATTTCATGTAACATTCAAACAATTACAATTATAATTAATAAAGTAATAAATGTTAATTGTTTCTTCAGACAGGATTCGTATGTCAGACAACGATCGATTTTTGACACGCGAGTTTTAATGAAGAATTTTGCTATTTCGCTGTTTAATAATACAGACATCGCCACTTTGTTTGAATCAATGCCTGATGTCGGCAGCGAATAAAATTACAATTACTTATAAACAAAAAAAGTAAGTTTCAAAGTATATATTTTATAAAATTGTTATTTAATATAATTCTATAGATAATATACACATAATTATATAGATTTTTATATAGATTTTTAATTTATATAGATTTTTAATTTAGATAGTTACATATATAGTTACAGTAAAACCTTAAAAAAATCACGATATGTTGGTTTGTTTGTGTTGCACTTTTTGCACTCAATATCTTCACTTTCTCTCTTTTCGAATATATATTGATCTCGTTTTAAATGTAAAAATTTTTGGATTTCAAGCAACGTTAACAAACCAAATATTTCAAGAAGGTACACGTGTCATGTTGTTACCTGTTCTCTTTTGTTTCCTTTCCTTCTGTGTGCCATAATATGTCAGTATTTTGAATCCAGGACACCACTTTTTACATTCCATTTCCCAATTGAGCATCACAGAAGTCGGCACGATTATAAGATGTGGCCCCCAGTTTCCTTTCTCGCAGGCCAGATGCGCCAACAACGCAATAGTTTGTATAGTTTTACCTAGACCCATCTCATCAGCCAGAATGCCGTTTAGCTTTCTTTCATACATCGTGACAAGCCAATCCAATCCTATGTGCTGATACTCGCGAAGAGAGTGTTTCAGAAGAAAAGGTATTTTAGTGACAACCTAAAAATACATACCGTGTAAATAAAAGCATAAAAGGAAACACACATAAAGACTATACAAAAAATAATTTTACAACAAACTTGACAAAATTTTCCGACCAATTTAGAATTGATTTGTCTTAATAAAAATTGAGAAATTTTAATTAAATTGTCTATTACAATTCTTCCATGTCTCCAATTTTTTATATATATTCATATTTTCATATATTACTTATTTATTCACTTGCATCTAATTAATAATTTGCAGTTTAGAATATGTAGTTCGAGAAAAATTCTTCTTGTTTAAAGATTTAATGAAATTTATTTATTAGTGCTTTGTGGTCACGGGGAGCTCATCATGACAAGATAACTTTTATTCACAGTTTATATGTTACGTTTGTGTTGTCTCTGAAGAAGGCTCAAAAGTGAGCCGAAACATGTAAATGCGTTTAGTAGAATAAAGAAGTTTTACGCTTTATGGGTGTATTATTTGCGCGACGTCTTCTACGCCTGACTCCTATTGTCCTTATTCTTTCCAATTTCTTTTGATTTATAAGGAGTCCTGCGTTCTCCGTTCGCTACTTTCTTTGTTAGTTTGATTTGTTATACGGATTTATTTATTAGAACATTATTGGCACTTCAATGTTTAAAATAAATTTAAAAAATAATGTAATGGTAAAATATTTTGCTCATACATAAATTTTTGTAATTAATTTTGTAGTGATTATTTTTTGAGAATAAAATATATATATATATATTTATTCGGAAAAACTATCACTGTTAATTTTCCTTTCGTAAATGATGATGAGCAAAATTGCTGCTTCATCACCTTGGATCGAAAGGATCATTTAAGTTTTTTAATACCTAAATAAAAATTGAAATAAAGAAACAAAAATTTGCCGATTCTAATATTCGATAAAAAAAAGCATCTAATTTAATAAAAAAGTACATCTTTCTATATATTTTCTATACATATAATATACATATATACGTACATTTTATAATTAATAAAATTTAACAAAACAAAATAAAGTATAAACGCAAGCAAACTTACACTAGTGGTGAGTAATGTATTTCCCTTAGGCTGAATGCTTTCGGCCAACGCGGCAACGTTATCCATTTCATTATGAGCATCCGAATTATCATCTTCTGCGACCTATTATGATGAATAAACAGTCATGTGACAAATTAAAAAGATATGTATACATAGTAACAATAGAAAGAATTAAAAAATGTAGCAATGATTAAGAAACTTAAATAATAAAATTCAACATAAAATAATTGTAAGGTTTTACCATGTAAAATAAAGACTTACTTTATTCTCTGATTGTTTTTCCGCGGAGGGGTCTTCGAGAAGCGATTGAAGTCCTACATCCGCCTCGGGATCGCTCTGAGTCTGAGTCTCATCTTCATCACTATCGTGATCACTCTCTTCGCTTTCACTCTCGTTGCTACTTATTTGGTCTTCGATCTCCTGCGTTCCCCGTTCGCTTTCTTTATCCGTACCTAAGAGAAAATGATACTTAATTAAATGTGATTTACTTTATTCTTTCAATAATAATATATAATTTTCGCAATTTTCTCAGACAAATGCCTCATTTCACAGCATGAATAATACGAGATAAATGAAAACCAAATATCTCATACTGTCAGTTGATGGTAGTAGTATCATCACTGTAATAAATTATACAAACAAAAGCATTTTTATATAATGAAAACTTTCATATGATAATCGAGATAACAATAATTAAAGATTTTTTATTTAAGCTTAATTGAAAAAATCTGTTTTAAATCGCTTATAAATTTAAAGATACTCAAACAATGCACAGTTTAAAAAAGCATGCTTAAGTTGAACTTTATATAAAAAAATACAAATATTTTTTTTAAAAAACTTTAAAAAAGAATCTAAAAAATTTACCTTCAGCCTCATCATCCTCGTCCAACATATCCGACATATTAGCATATTTGGCAGCGAGTTCGTCGATAGACATTTCATTATCAGCCTAAACAAACACGAACACATCCTTATTCAAGTCTGACAAGAACGATTTACGATAATTGCCTGATTATTTCTTGAAAAATTGAAAATTATGTACCTTAAGTTCATCGAGTTCTCGCTTATGATCGATTTCTCCCTCAAGCCTTTCCTCTTCCATGATAGTATCTTCCTCATCCGTGGATTCACCAGATGCTGCGACGAAATCTGCATCTGCGTCAACCGCTTCATTTTCCTATAACAAAAAAATCATCTCATTTTATCTTTTGATAAACGTTTAAAGAGGCGATAATTTAGAAACTTCCAAAATTGAAACTGCTATTATATAATTGAAAAATGATAAATTTCAATACTTTACGCTATTAATTTGCACACTATCTATAAATATTATATAAAAAGGATAACATATGTTCAAATACTTATTTGATTAAAAACATACATTTTGCTCCTCTTCGTTCGTTGTGTTATTCGGCGATAGACTTCTATTTCGATGCTCTAAATAATCTGGTGGTAAGTCCTTCAAAAGATCTTCCAAAGGTATTTCTGATTCTTTTTTTAACAACTCAACTTCCTCTTTGTGATTGGTCGTTTTCATTTCTTCTTCGGCTTTAGCTATGGTCTCCTCGTCATCATCTGAACTCTGATTTGGCTGGAATTCCTCTGTAACAGATTATACCATATAAAATTAAATTATTTATACAAACATATAATGTCGTATATAACTGTAAAATACTGTGACATATTTGTACAATATTAAAGTTCTGTAATTTAAATTGTATCATGCAATAATCCTGTATTTCCAATAATAACATTGAAATGAATATTAATAATGATATTACATATTAATAATGTTATTAATTAATGTGTTTTATTGATTGCATGCATTAATAAATGTTCATTAACATAAATAAAAATTAATTACATTTTATTATGCAAGTTAAACGTACCATCGGAATGACATTTTCCCACTGGGATTGGCGAAGAGATACGTGAACTATTTATGGAAGCTGGAATACTCTGTGGACCGTCGGTCTTGTTGAGACCTTCTGTCAACCATGTGGAATATTTCTCTGTTTGACCCACAATGAAATTTAGATGTTGATCCAATGCCTTCTTTCGTTTTTCTTCTAGCCTCGTTTGCTGCTTATACTCCACCAACTGTCAACATTGCAGTTATTTTTTTTATAATTCTGTCCATATTTATTTGGCGTGTATTCGATTTTAAAACATTATAAATATTATGGATTAATGTCTAAATATTGTTACTAATTATTAATAAGAAATGTTATAAATTCACATCCAAATATATTTACGAGGTTTGTGTTAGCCCAATTGAGCATAATTCAATATGAATGTCCTGCGCTAATTCTTTGGTTGAATTTACAAGAAAACCAAACAACCATACACAATGCGCAGACTTTGCTGTTCCCACAACGAGCACACGCTTCCGATAAAGATGCATCAAAAACGCCGGCTTAATTAGTGTGGGGTAAAATAAAGTTATATAAATCAATGTAGCCTTCATAAAAAAAAGTAATGTAATTATAAAATAAAAAAATAAAACAATTTTTCATAGAATTAAATTAATAAAGACTGACTGCTTAATTTATTTACGTTTCTAAATGTGTGCACTTTAGCTTTTCGCTTACTTTCTCGACATTTGCCCAGAAAGTTTTAATCTCCTTGGCGACTAAGCTGGCAATTTTCTTCAGCCGAAGTTCCTGCAATTTCTCAGCCTTCTGTGCTTGAATCGCCTTTTCCTGAAAGTATTTCTGCACCATTCTCGCGCATTTCTTTGCTGCTGCCTTTTTCCATTTACGTTCTTGGGCGAAGTCAGCGGCCAACCAGACCATTTCCTCTAGCAAGTAATCCCAATGAGCTTTGGTTCGAGTCGGTTCCTGCACCTTGGGCAATCGCCGTTCCGACCATAATCCTTCGCGTTGCAATTCCGCAATCCTTTGCATTACGTACGCCTCCTATATTCAGATAATCGCAGCAATTAGCATATAACGTAAAATTTAAATATATAAACTATACATTCGATTGACTTATTCGAAAAGAAACAAATATGTATAAATTAGATAATACATTATTTAATATAGTCATATTACTGTTTCAGTAAAAGATAATTAATAAACTAAAATTGTTTTAAACATGTTTAATAAAAACAAAATAAAAAAAAATAAAATTATTTAAGTAAATAACTCGTTTATAAAAAAAACCTATTAGAAAAATTATATCCAATCAAACCTACAAGTGTTTGTTGACACATATTTAAGACACTAATATAAATATTTGTCTTTTTTACACCGAAAAAAGATAGTATTAAAATAGTCAATCGCGGCAATTACCTGCTTAGCTTTTTCCACAATTTGCTCCTGATTGTTCGAGATATCACAGGAAGTAGTTATGGTAGTGGGTGTAGACAACTTAACGAGCTTAACGATAGGTTGTGGACTATTGAGCGTAGCTGTAGTCACAGACGATTTCGGGGTGGCCACGGTGATTATAGACGGCGACGACTTTTCTACCACCGAACTCGCGACCGTAGTCGTCAGTTTCGACGAGCCTGTAACCACCGACGTTCCACCTAAAATGATAACACCGTTTTGGGATTGCTATGATAATAATGTGAACGATAATGCATTAATCAAAAAATAAATCAAAAAGCTGATTGCGACAGCGACATATGTATTACTATAAGATAGGGCAATTTTGGTTAAAATTAAGTATAATCTTAAATCATTAGAGATTATAACCTTCCTGCAATTGTATTTTGTCAATCTTATACTACATTTAACAAATAGAAGGACTCTTTATATGAAAAATAAAAAACAACTAAAGGGCAAAGTAAGAGTTAATACGTTAAAAATATAGTTTGAAATTGGTGAAACATAAAAAATTAAGTTAGATTCAGTCTGAATATAATTATAATATTTAAGTAAATAAATTAAGTAACAAATAAATAACAGAAATTCTACATGACAAGTTTCGGCTACACGATTGAGCCCTCTTCAGATACAATTTTATATGAATTGATATACAATAAGTTCACGCAAAAAACGCATATTAAGTTTTAGATGAAGAACCTTGCTACAGGAAACGCCTAACTTCCGAGATGCTCATCAAAAAGTAGACCGTTAGTTTAAATTTACAAACTGACATGGAAGGTCTCCACAAGACATATATACCTATTATAAATAAACTTTGACTCTTTGTTACTGACAGTCCGTCTCCTCTCTCAGTATGTGTTGATCTGTATCGACAATCGTATGTAAGAGAATACATTTTAATTGTCGCACAATGTTCGCGTTATATCTACGAATGGCTTATACCGTACACAACCGATTTTCTCTGGAAAATTTTAAAGTAATTTTACACATGGCTTTTGGTAAGATATTTGTTAGAATTTATACGTTTATTTTTTGTAATAAGACTTTATATTCTAATTAGATTTCGAAGAGACACTGATCACGAATGGCATGTGAACGGCGTAGATTAATACATCCGAACAGTATTTAATATCCGTTTTTTGCGTGAACTTATTATATATCAAATTCATGTAAAATTGTATCTGAAGAGGGCTCAATCGTGTAGCCGAAACTTGTCATGTAGAATTTCTGTTATTTATTTGTTACTTAATTTATTTAATTAAATGTTATAATTATATTCAGACTGAATCTAATTTAATTTTTTATGTTTCACCAATTTCAAACTATATTTTTAACGTATTGACTCTTACTTTGCCCTTTAGTTATTGTTTTTTAATCTTATACTGCTTTTTTATTTAGTACGATCCAATTATATAAGTGTACAGGCACTTCTTTCTTCCCACATAATGCAGAATTAAAATAAAATCAAAATGCTTTTTCCGCATAATATTGGAAGTTATTTTCAAATTGCACTTGAAAAATTATACCAAAAAGAAATAAAATGAACTCAAACTAAAAGTTGATATTTTAACATGGCATTAATAAAATTTAGAAAAAAAAGGCTGTCGATATTACATCATAAAAATCCTCAAAATAGTAGTTTTTTGCACCATTGATGCCATTTTTCTTAAAATTGTGACGTAATAGCCAAATTTGGCTAAGGAATTCGCAGTCAGTGACAAAAACATTGGAAATGATTTATTCACACTCTGTTCAAAAAAAAAAGGTCAAGTTTCTTGGATAGTGTAAAAAAAGAACTAGCACGAGAAAAAGAGTGAGACAATAAGTGAAATGTAAGTTGAAGTTATCCATTAACACATAATATTTAGCAGATTGGACAAGGTAAAAGAAATTAAATTTTATATATTAATTATATCTATTATAAGTCTTTAAGTATAAGAAAATATACTTATCGGAATTCAGAAACTTTTAATTCATAATATTCAAGAAAGCTGTATGATTATGTTATTACCGTTATCAAAACAATTAACTATTCTTAAGTACGCAAAAGCATGAATTATAAATAAGTTATATTCTCTAATTAATATTGCTATTTACATTATTAGATCAAAATCAATTAGAACAACTGCTGAACAACAGTTACATATGAATATATAAGAAATAAACATTTTCAAAATTTGTGCCAAAGTTACCCCATTTTACGATATTTAAAAATATTTCTGTATTTTGAATTAACAAAAGTAGGCAAATATTAATATATTTTACGCGAATAACGATTTAATGGATAAACGGAGAACATATTTTTGCCAACATAATTCCACAGAACAGGCAAGAAACGTATCTACACGATTGACAACAATTAAAAGCAAGAAACGAAAACACTTTCAAAGTACTCCAATTAAAATAAATCGCTTTCATTTGCATTTGAGATGTATGTGTACATACATATATGTATATGGCATAACGACAGATATATATTATTCTTACCAAGCTTCAAATAAAAAAACATGCGTCTGCACTTAATAATGATCAGGTCAATCACCACATCATTGTAGTTTTTACGTAACATGCTATACTTGTCTGATTCATTCTATAGAGTGGGCATACAGTGGACGTATAGTGTTATAGCACGAAAAAATTAGATGTTATTATAAGATGACAGTACAGATTTCTACATCAACTTTAATAGCTTTAGTAGTAGGAGAGTTCTCTGGCGAGCATTTCTCCTGATCATCGTTCCAATAGTTCAAGTCAAGAGTACAATATATATGTATAATACGGAAGTATATAACGCGTAAAAATAATCGTTTATGACAAGACTTTGTAGCATCTAAACTGCTCGGAAGCAAAACCAATATGGAGCGGCTTAAAGATATAAAGAAACGAACGGCAGGCGATCTGCGGTAATCACCTATAATGAATGTGGGTGCTACGGTGGAAGCGGATGGAGGGTGAACGGTGACTGGCGAAGACTGGATTGCCGCTCGGAAGGCAAACACCATGCCATGGCGGCCCCCTTGAGGCCTACCTGGTACTTGTCCTAAGTGCATCATTTATTCCGTATACAAGCCGAATTTCAATTCATTATTAAAGTATAACATAAATGAGAAAAATTGTCTACTCCGCAAATAATAAATATTTTCCTAAATGATAAGAATCCTCTTAACGCGCACAAGGCTCTAAATTATAATTGGTGTTTTTATTATTCTTTTTTTACTAATTGATGTATGATAGATAATATAGGTACTAATAAAATGACGGCGAGAATTCAAGAAAAAAACAGTCGTCCTTAATTACAAAGAATACGTATCTAAATAGAATTTAAGTAAACACAGGATAGAATAACAATTCAAGAAAGATGAGTCATTAATCATGAAAAATATGTATTCAAATAAATTTGAAATTCATTGCAATAAATAATTTTGCAAAATTCCTTTACATATCATAAATCGAATTACAAATCTATCGAACACAAATTGTGATAGAAGGAGAAAGAATATCTATTTCAATGTATAGGGTGAGAGAACAGGATTATTATTTTCGCTTATGACGTCGTGATCCAATAAAGCTGCAACAATATTCAGTCGATTCTCTCTATTCTGAGAACCCGTGTTCTAAGGCTTTCCTTTATCTGATATAAGTTTTCCTCTGCGTGGGAGTGAGAAAATGAGTGAAAGACAAAACATTCTTTATTCCACACAAATTAAAAGATATCAAAGGAAAATGTTAGAATAGAAAAGAATTCTTTGGCGCATCTTAAAATAGAGGAACGCGACTGTATATTTAAGTACGAATGAACGTTTAAAAGTGAAAATACACTGAATGAACAGTAAAGAAACAAATACGAATTTTCGCTGTTAAAATTCAAGAAATATTTATGGATGCTAACAGAACATTCATCGGAATTTAATCTGAGATCGAATTGATTTGCTCATGAAGTCTAACATATAATATTCACACACGATTATAATGATACATCTTTTCCGTCCAGGGTAATATATGAATGTAATATCAATCTGTTTAAATGTATTACATATCGATGAAAACATCGGATCATAGTTGCTCAGAAGTAATGACGAAGAATTAGACCTTTTTGTTGCCGTAATTAACGGGTATTTATAATTACCTTGACTGAGTTGGGCTAGAGCCGCAGCAGGCAGGGTGGTGGACACCGCTACTGGTGTGACGCCCGCCCCAGCGATTTTAACTTCTGCTCTTTGATTCGGGATCTGGACCACCGTGGAGCCGGACGTGACGGTTGTGACGGTGGTGGTAGCGGTGACAATAGCGCTGGTAACGGTCGTAGTAGTGGTAACAGTAGTTGTAACAGCAGATAGCTGCGAGAATTCTGGTATCGACGACAGTGGCGCAGTCAGATCTTCGTCATCGTCATCCGGGTCGAGTTGATGCTGACGCAGAAAGTGCACTAACTGCGGCGTCGGAGATCGCTTCCGCCAGGTATAATACTCCATCATGTTGCCGCCGGTGTGCAGAAAGAACAGTTCCGATGCATTTTCCGCATACTTTTCACGTACGCTGCGCATCCGTCGCATCTTGTGCTCCATTATTCGTCTACGACAGTCGCTAGCATCAAATAGAATCGGTTTCTCCAATTTCGTCGTTTCCGACAATTTCAGCCGTTTCCTCGCTGGTGAAGGCGATTGCACCTGCACCTGCGGCGATGAGACCTGTGATGACGTCGGTGCTACAAACATATTGCTTAAGGAAGTGCGTACAAGTTTCGGCGACGTTGTCAGCATAAGCTTAGAGTTCTGTGGCCGTGACACTGTCGACGGCGACGTGCCGCCAATTCCGACAGCGTTGCGCGGTGGCGTACCCGCGATGTTGACGATCCTTGTAACTTGTTGCGTGCCGCTCGCGTTAGTTGTAGCATTATTCGGTATGACCTGCGAGTAAAAATTCATAAGTGCTAATCATACAAGCAAAAGAAAGGACGCTGTACTGATTATATGGAAAATTGAATCTTGAAATAAAATGAGTTAGTTTTAATGCTTATAATGTGTGTAACCAAAGATGTCATAATCACAAAACTCAATAATGGACAGTTTTTAAGCTATGAAGTATCAAAAATGTAAAATTTAAATGTGCTCACATAAAGCGCCTTTAATATACAATATCATAACGTAAAAACAATCTATTTTTGAGTCTTGGGTTTACGATATCTTTTATTCACCATATTATAAGCTAGATTATATATAAAAATTCCTTTCATAGGAATCCAATTTTATTTGGATACACATACAATTAATGCAGGATCCTTTTACTACAGAATTATGCCAAGTGTACAAATTAATAATTATTGAGTGCAATTATTACGAAATCAATAATTAATAATCAGTAATATTTAATAAAAATAATCCAGATTAAAATAATCCTCAGAAATTGTTGTATCCAATTATTGCTTAATTAATCATCACAGTTATTAAGCATTATTAATAATCAACAAATAACAGAAATAATAGAGGTTAAAATATTTGGTAATCATGATTAAATTATTAATTATTGATCAAGCTATTACAAATAATAAAGCTAGATGTGTGTATGAGAGAAGAAATACATCTCATATTTATAATTTTTTGCTATTTAAAAAAATGTAACATATATTATTTCGTGAAACAGTATGTGGTTAAATTCTGGTTACAAGCGTGAACATTCACCTGTGTGAGACCAGGAACCTGAGTCGTAATAACAAACTGTTGCCCACTGGTAGTAGCAAGCACATTGAGGCCTTGAGCGGTAGCGATAACTTGCTGCAGACTGACAGTCTGTTGAGCTGAACTTCCGTTATTTCCGCCATTATTAGCCGCACCCCGACTAAGGGGTGGTAAAATAGGTGCACCCTGTTTATCACTCATTGCACGTTACGCTGAAAACATAGAATAGTACTGTATTACAGTAACTCACAATGACACATAGTACTACATAACAATTCATATTTCATCACACAAGACGTAAACACAGATACTTTTTAAAGAAATTGAATTCCTTCTCAATAACAAAAAATGAATTTATTTCGATATAAAATTATATCTTCATGTTGATTCTCATAAATATTCGATTGTTGTATTTCAATTTGAAAACATGGAATCATATTTCAGTTTTAATGGGAAAGCAAGCTCTATTTATACTCTAATTCCTTTGACATATTTATTTTTTAAGATTATTTTAAAGTTTAAAAAATAATTTACAGTTTGAAGTTTAACAATTAAAAAATTTTAAGTAAACTGAAGAGTTATTAATTATTAATAAAATAAGAACAAAAACAAAAACTGCAAAGTACTAATAATGTAGAGAATCATGTGTCTTTTAAAAAACATACGATATATATATATAATATAAATATACATAAAATAGGTATTCCCAACCAAATAATATAAATATAAAACATATACAGATAATGTATAGAAAAATGATAATGTATACAATATTGAGACTAATGCATTAATTGTTATCTATAAATAAATATATATTTAAAAAAAAATAATTATTTAAATCACTACATTTACAATTCACAACACACATACCGATTCTTTTTCAAATAATATATAAAATACATACAAACTTTATTTAATTAACATAAATTATAAATTGGCAAAGAAAAACAATGAAAGTAAACATAAAACTATTTATATATGTATATTAAAAAGAAAAATTCTAATAGAAATACTTTTTAACAAACTCACACACTTCAATGTCAACTTAAATTCTTTCGAGAATACGCAGAGCACCTGCAAAATAGCCGCGTGATTTAATTGCAAATTATCGAAAGAAACAACGAAGATAAAGAAAAGTTTCAGACGATACATAAAGAAATGATAGCAACGGCCTACTAGACAAGTTTGTTCATTGTAAAAAAACATTGATCGTTTATAAAGATTAATCAAGACAATGCGAGAAAAAGAGCGAATTTGAAAAAGGCGTCTCTCGTACGATTCGCGTTAAAAAAAAGGGAGCAGACACATTCCGCGATCGAATAAATTCGCGAAATTTGAAATGTACACGACGACAGGATATAATCGGGAAATCGCGAAGATCGTCGGACGGCGAGGAGTGTCATCGCGACTATCGTTAGCCGGCAAATCGAGACAGTCCGAAGATTCGAGGGGCTACCTGAGAGCGAACGTTCGTACGTGCATCGAGGGAGCGATGTGCTATATCGAGGCGAGCGCCGGTGACGAAATACGTCGCGAATGCGAGACGAGCCGCACGAAAGACGACGGGTCGCGAGCGTCTTGTGTCGCGGGCGTCCTAGGGGCGTCACGCGAGGAAACGATCTCGCCGACGACGCTCGGCGCCGACGGGTGGGGAAGCCGCGCGGCACGGCGTGATACAAAGGAAATCTCCCGTCCGCCATGTTGGCGTTGGCTCCGAGACGGACTAGGACTTACCATAATGTAATCACAAATTACCGCGACGTAGGTGCGCCATCCACGGGAATGATCGTCACGCCCGTGTTCCGCGTGGGTCAACTCGTAATTAGGTACCTCACGTAACATACGGCGCATGAGCTATATCTAATATTTTACGATACATCGTCACACCGCACGCCCAAGGACGCGTACGCACTTCTAAACATGGCGACGGCTGCGAGAAGAGTTTCGGCCCGCGGCCGAATACGAGCCATCTCCGAGTATTTGCACCAGTCGCGCAGAGATGGCGTTGCGCCCCCCTCCCCCTCCGATTGGCCTGCCGCAGCCGTTGCGCGCGGCAACGTGGCACCGACGGAGCCGCGCGATTGGTCGGCCCGCTCGTACGTTCGAACATGCGGCTAAAATGTGCTAACTCACATCCCCGGGTCTGTTCGTTTTTTAATCGCACTCCTTACACTCCCGTGCTACGCACAATGCTAAATATGGATATTCAATTTCGATCTTTTTCTTGCCCGAGGATGAAAAACGCCCATACACTACACTGTCATCTCTGACAATACATATAATTATTTATTATTTCAATTTTATTCCATTTTTGTTGATTATAATTATCTATGATTATATGATTAATTATTTACAGGAGTGGCTGAGAAAAGAATTCAAACGAACACGTGATTTTGCACAATCAGCGTGTAATGTAAAATACGAATAAAAACTTTATTCCTTTTTCTTCTTTCGGAGTTTAAAAAATTTTGCTCCGATTTCAATAGCTAATCGCGATTAATTAATTTTCAAAAAATAAAAATGAATATTCGTCGAACGTTCATAGTCAATTAATTACTAATTCCGATATATTTTTTTATTGAACTTCGCAGTGTCGTGACTATTAAAATTTATCATTTGATTAATTTCTCATCTCTTGGGCCTTACCAAATTTTATCTTCATCTTAAAATTAAAAAAATGCACGAGAAATTCAAATATCTCATTACGGCTGCACTTTTTACACCTCGTTATCTTGCCTTCTTTCTCTTTCAAAGTGTTTCAGATTCGTTATATAAACAAAGAAAACCCCGGAAAATACAGGAGCAATTGTTGTATCTTCCTCGCTCGAAACAAAGCGATATACATTTAAGTATTGACGGAAAAAGGGAAGAGCAATTTCCGACAAGAAGAGTACAGAAAGTAAAGATCGAGACTGGCAACGAACGGCAAAGGCAGAGATCGCGGGGCCGTGCACCGATCTAAAGTACACGCCACGTGGCACAGTCGATTCCGATCTCCGTCTCGCTACGGTAAATTCCGAGCTCGACGTATGCCCGACTTACCCGTGCATCGATCCTCTCTCGAATCACTCCATCCTCGTCGTTTTCGCGTGCTGCCGTGTCGGGGTCTCGCGTTGCCGGGGCCGACAAGTGCGGGCGGTGCGCCGTTCGATCGTCGATTCGTGCGCGCACGTGCGTCCCTCGCGTGCGAACGCGTGCCTCTGCCGCCGCCAGCGAGCGGCATTTTTGCGCGCGGGAATCTCGATCGCCATCTCGGCCAATCTCGAGGCGCACGAGGTAGGACTCGCGAACTCGGTGGAATTCGGTGAACCTGGATCCCGGTCGTCGCCGCAACGCCGGGACGTGCGACGTGCGACACGTCCGGCAAGGTGAGACGATTGACGCCACTGGACGCGCTGCGCTGCGCAGTGCTTCGTCTCGATTGGTGCAGATTGGCGGCACCGGGCCGCTCGATATCGCCGGAAGAACGCTTAAAAGATGCGTAACGCGCGGGCGCGCGAGATAACGCTTTTCGAAAATTATGCGCGCAACGAATGATCTGTTTTCTGTTCCTGCTCTAGACTGCACTAGCACTTTCTTTCTCGCTTTCGAGACAATATCAAACATACCTTTCTCACTTTAAATTTCAAAAGTGTGTACATTAGTTCAACCACAGAAAATAGACCTAAAAAAATCCGAATTTTGAATTAAATTGAATCCGACGTGAATTTATCCGCTTGTCAAAATATACGTTTCTTCGAAGTGTCTAAATTTATTGCGCCTGAATTTATATATTATATGAGACATAATAATTGCGTATATTTGCATTTCGAACGCCTTTATGTATGTATACATTTTATATAGATATATATATATAATACTATATACGTTTCGCATTCTGAAGTCAGCCGCTTTTGTATTGGTTATGTTGCGTCTATTTAATTTTCGCTCTATACTGCATAAAAACATTATTTTGATTAAAAAACGATATTTTTAACGTTCTTTTAATTATTTCATAACTTACTGTTAATGTTATTTTTTTTTATGTTCAAGTTTTTATCTAACTATTGAACATTTCGAAATCATGTAAATTTTAACCCTTAATTGCAATATGGACTTTTTTTGTACAAACGAAATTTTACTCTCGGATTTCTTTCTTATTTTTTGTTTAAATTTTTAATTTAAGGTTTTTACAGTTGAGTTAAAAACCTTTTCGGCAACACTGAAGCTCATGGCACATACAAAAACATAAGGCCGTAAGACGTAAGCAGTAAGGAAATCGTAACATTGGATTCGCTATTGGCCTTACGGTCTCTACCGTGATTGGCCAATTCGCTTATTGATTACGTCTTTCGGCCTTACGTTTTTGTATGTGCCATGAGCTTTAATAGAGAAAAATGTTGAAAACAATAAAAAAATTTAGACTGAACAAAAAAGACTCAAATTATATGGAGGGAGTAAAAATATGACTGCAGACGAGGATTAAATGTAAACTTTTGCGAAGATATGTTTTATGTCTTTATACCTATATACATATATATATATTTACAATATTACATGTAAAGAATATAAAGCATTTATTAATATGTACATATGAATATGTTCCATTTGTAATATCTAACGAAAAATAACACAATTGCAAAAAAAATAATTTATTATATATAATTAATATATAATATAAATATACTTTTTATATATTTTATTATACATATATATAATAAATTGTTAAATAAAAA